ACAACAACCCTGTGAGGTATAAGAACATAAGAACCTAAGAGAGGCCAATGTTGGATCAGGCCAATGGCCCATCCAGTCCAACACTCTGTCACACAGTGGCCAAAAATACCAGGTAGGTTAGGCTGAGAGTGTGTGACTGGCCCCAGGTCACCCAGCCAGCTTCCATGGCACGAGTGAGGATTGGAACCTGAGTTTCCCAGATCCTGGTCTGACACTTCAACCACTATACCGCGCTGGCTCTCTCTGTGATTGAAACTCCAGTTTGCTCCGCAACTAGTCCCCGGTTTCGTTTGTGAAGTGAATGGACGTTGGCTCTTTCTTAAAAATGTACACACGTACTGGCGGGATATATGTACGTTCACTATAAAGTGTGAGGGGGGGCTGTGTTTGCTGTGGGGAGTACAAATAGGGGGAACGGTGTTGTAAGCTGCTTTGGATCGTCAGAGGAAGAAAAGCAGGGTACGGATATTGGAATAAAGGAATCACGGATGAAAAAGGCAGACACTAATAATCTCTTCTGGGCAGGACCCGGTCTTTTGCTCCCGGGCACGTTGGCGATGCCTCTTTCACGGTTCCTCCCTTTCCTTTCTCATTATTCCCGGTGCTTATCCAAGTAGGATCCAGTCTCACAGGCCTCTCTGCGTGCCCAAGGCCATTTAATGGGGTTGCCAACTTCCAGGTGGGAGCTGGAGATCTCCTGGAATTGCAACTGATCTCCAGACCATGGAGGTCCGTTCCCCGGCAGAAAATGGCTGCTTTGGAGGGTGGACTCTGTGGCACTGTGCCCCACTGAGGTCCCCCAACCCTGCCCTCCCGAGGTTCCACCCCCCAGTGTTCCCTCTAAGCTGAGTTAGTGTGAGCCAGCTCACAGTTTTTTAGCCTCCAGCTCACACGTTTTTGTCTTAGCTCAGGAAGGAGGGCTCCAGAGCAGACTAGTTTATGCAGTAGTCAAGTCGCTCGCTCACAACTTTAATGACAGTAGCTCACAAAGGAGAATTCTTGCTCACAAGACTCCACAGCTTAGAGAGAACATGCCCCCCCCCCCCAATCTCCAAAAATTTCCCAACCCTGGTCCGCCAACCTCACTCCCATCCCCAAACCCCACCCTCCCCGGGCTTCACTCTCAAATCTCCAGGAATTTCCCAACCTGGAGCTGGCAACCAATCCATTTAAGAGCTTCCTGGATCCCCGGGGCAAGTCTGGAGACTGACAGCTTCTGGCATTGTGTTTAATAGGGCTGGTTGCTGGTGCGCACACTTCCCCCCTCCCTCCCCTGTAAATTCTGCTTCAGGATATTTGGAACAGCTCCTGGAACTGATTCAGAGACACTTCACGCTTCACGGACCGCCTTGAGCTTCCAGACACCCTTCAGTTCAGGTCTTGTTTTGTTCCTCGTGAATTATATCTGGCCTGTGGTAACCGGTGGTTTGCTCCGTTAGAGCGGATTTGCCTCAGTGGCACACGTAAACGTTCTTCCGAAGACCAGGATCAGAAGTTTATTTTGTAGGAAAGGGATGGCTCTGGTTCCGAACACGGGTTACCGTGTCAGACTAGAATCTGAGAGAGCCCGGTTCGCCTCGGCCCGGTCTACCTCTCAGCCTAACCTACCTCGCAGGGTCGTTGTCGTGAGGATAAAACGGAGAAGGGGAGAGCCATATTGTAAGCCACTTTGGGTCTCCATTGGGGAGAAAAGCAGGGATATAAGTTGGGTTGCCAACCTCCAGGTGGTGGCTGGGGGCCTCCTAGGATTACAACCAACGTTCCCTCTAAGCTGTGGGGTCTTGTGAGCAAAAATTCTACTTTGTGAGCTACTGGCATTAAAGTTGTGAGCGAGCAATTTGACTACTGCATAGATTAGTCTGCTCTGGAGCCATCCTTCCTGAGCTAAGACAAAAATGTGTGAGCCAGAGGCTAAAAAACTGTGAGCTAGCTCACACTAACTCAGCTTAGAGGAAACATTGATTACAAGTGATTGTTAGATGGCGGGGATCAGTTCACCTGGAGAAACTGGCCACTTTGGAAGGTGGGCTCTATGGCATGATACCTCGTAGAGTCCCCTCCCCCACTTTACTCCACTTCCCAAATCTCCAGGTATTTCCCAACCCGGAGCTGGGAACCCCAGGTATAAGCATCTAAATGCATGAATAAAATTAGCCTTGGATATGAATGGTTTTTACGATTTCGTTATACTCGGCAAAGTATCCTGTGCTAGAGAAGACAAGACTGTGGTGGAAAGTGCTGTCGAGTCATAGCTGACTTACGGCGACCCTGTAGGGTTTTCAAGGCAAGAGATGTTCAGAGGTGGTTTCCATCGCCTGCCTCCGCCTCACGACCCTGGTATTCCTTGGCGGTCTACCAATTGGATACTAGCCCGGGCTGACCCTGTTTAGCTTCTGAGAACTGATGAGGTCAGGCTAGCCTGGGCTATCCAGGTTAGGATGGCACTAGGGTTGCCAAGTGGCACTTACCTCCTCCGCGGGGGATTCCCGAGTGGCTCCCGGTGCACGCGCGTGCCTCATGCACGTCACTAGGAAGTGACGGTATGACGCCGGGCACGCTGGGGGCGGGGCCACGACCATACAAGGGAAAACCATAGAGTTTTCCCTTGTTTGGCTGTGGCCCCACCTCCAGCGTGCCCGGTGTCATAACGTCACTTCCTGGTGACGTGCACATCGGGGAGGAGTTCCCCCCGGGGCCCGATCCGTCGTCGGGGAACGGGCCTCTGGGGCGGGGGTTTCCCCGCCTCCCGGGGGGACTTGGGATCCCTAGACGGCACAAGACAGCCAGATATTATTTCTGGATTTCTTTTTACCTTTGTATGTTCCACAAGTGTCCGTTGGATATTAATAACAGTGTTGATCATAATAATTCTGAGGACTCAGGAAGCAGTTCTAAGACCACATGGTAGTAATAGTCCTGTGCTATCGAGGGGTAAGGGACTACTGATCCAGACACAACAAGTAATCAGTGATCGTATGGCACTGTATGCAGTATAGTCAGGAGATCCTAAGATTGCCTGGCAAGCAGGAGTTCTAGCTTTTTTAGTGATACGCACCACTAGGTGGCGAGTTAGAGTTGTTTTTAAGGCAAGAGACTTTTCAGAGGTGGTTTTGCCATTGCCTGCCTCTGCGTGACGGCCCTGGCCTTCCTTGGAGGTTGCCCATCCAAATTCTAGCCAGGGCCGACCCTGCTTAACTTCCGAGCTCTGACAGGATTGGGCTAGCCTGGGCGATCCAGGTCAGGGCGCAACAAAAGACTGGTATGGCTTTGACCCGTGGCCAGGAGCATCACCACAGCCATTGCTCCCATGGGTCACTGGCAGTAGGCTGACTGCTGAGTGTCAGAGTTACAATCTCACTGATTTCTTGCTCCCAAAGAGACAGAGCGACTGGCCCGAGGTTCCCCCAGCAAACTTCACAGCAGAGCGAGGATTTGAACCCGGGTCTCCCACAGCCTAATCTGACCTCTGCGCACACTGGCTTTGAATATGTGGCACAATAAACTACATCTTCGATTTCATTCGCTGTGAACTATCATGATACGCCTTAGTCTTCCTACTCCTCATGAACGCAGGGATTGTGTAATCCTGTGAGGCAATAGATCTCAAAACAGATAACTGGCATCTTTCTCCCGAGGTTGTCACAGGATTCTTTGGAAGGAGCCATGCGATAATCGTTTGTTTGCTTATAGAGTGGTTAGTGTGCTGGCCTAGGCCCAAGGAGGCCCGGGTTCAAATCCTTCCTTCCTTGCCGTATTGCCATATTGGGTGGCCAGGGGCTAGTCACTTTCTATCAGCTTTACCTGTCTGACAGAGTTGTTGGCGTAAAATGGAGGCGAGAACCACCCCAAAATTTTTTTTTGTATTTATTTCATTCAATTTATTAATCGCCTGTCTCCGAAGACTGTGGGGCTCTAGGTGATGTACAAGGGTTCTAAAAACATAATAGACATAGAAACCAATCCAGTAAAGGTCAAGGTTTCCCTTGCTCAAAAGCCGGTTGAATCCGACTCTAGGGGGCGGTGCTCAACTCTTTCCAAGCTGAAGAGCCAGCGCGGTCATGTGGCCGGCATGACTAAACATCGAGGCACATGGAACATTGTTACCTTCCCACTGAAGCAGTACCTCTTTATCTACTTGCAATTTCTTGTTTTCGGACTGCTAGGTTGGCAGGAGCTGGGGCCAGAGACGGGAGCTCACTCCGTCACGCGGCACTCGGGTCTTGAACTGCCGCACTACAGACCTTCCGGTCTGCAGCTCAGCGTCTTAACCTCTGAGCCACCGTGGCCCCAATCCAATAAGATACTATAATTAAAAGCAGGTGGTGAAATTTTGTAGCTTCCTACCATATCTGGATTGTGAGCGCTTCACATGTTCGGGGGGGAATCAGTTCTATACAGAAGAAGGGTCCAGGTGGGTAGGGTTGTGTCACACAGGTAGGGTTGCCAACTCTAGATTAGGAAATTCCTGGAGCCTGGGGTGGGTGGGGTTTGGGGAGGGGTCAGGGGAGCATAATGCCATGGAGTCCACCACCCAAAAGTGGCCATTTTCTCCAGGAGAGCCGATCTCTGTCGTCTGGGGATGGGTTGTCATTCTGGGAGATCTCCAGGCCCCACCTGGAGGTTGGCTACCCCCCACCCAGAGCTTCTCTGAGGAAGGCAGGGTAAATATGAGTTTAACGATAAGTATAAAGACCCACAGCCCCTAAGGCTAGACCTGGAGATCTCCTGCTATACAATTGATCTCCAGACAACCAAGATCAGTTCTCCTGGAGAAAATGGTTGCTTGGGAGGGTGGACTCTATGGTATTATACCCTGCTGAGGTCCCTCCCCTCCCCTCCCCAGGCTCCACCCCGCAAAGCTCCATGAATTTCCCAACCCAGAGCTGACAGCTCTATAAAAGTCATAGCACACGTCGGAAATGGCATGTTAGCACTGGCTTACCATCTCTTCCTTGGCCGCTCTCTCTTTCTCTCTCTCCCTCTCTTTGGCCCCTCTAGTCATGGATCCCTCGGTCACTCTATGGCAGTTCCTGCTCCAGCTGCTGGAGCAGCAAAGCAACGGGCATCTCATCGCGTGGACGTCCAATGACGGGGAGTTCAAGCTGGTGGACGCGGAGGAGGTTGCGAGGCTCTGGGGGCTCCGGAAGAACAAGACCAACATGAACTACGATAAGCTGAGTCGGGCCCTGCGATACTACTACGACAAGGTGGGAGGCTGCCCAGGACGTCCAAGCCACTGACGGGAGTGGCACGGAGAGGAAGGGTGCTGATGAGCCATCCCATCCGGCTCCTGGCTATCTGTGGCAAGGGAGGGGACTGGCACCCCTTCTGGCGCCTGCAGTGGCCCTGAATCGGGACGGGGATGACCCCTTGCCTGTGGTAATGCCACAGGAGCTCGGCTTGGTGGAAGCTGGTGGCAGCGCAGGCCCCGGAGGGGATGGGTGTACCTGGCTAGGGGCAAGAAAATAATGTGAACCGGCCCAGGACAGAGCCTGCTACACCCCCTGCAGGCCTCTTCCCTTTCAGTCTCTGTCCCTGCCAATGCTCCCTCCAAGCTGTGGAGTCTTGTGAGCAAAATTTCTACTTTATGAGCTTCTGGCATTAAAGTTGTGAGTGAGCGATTTGGCTGCTGCATAAATTAGTTCGCTCTGGAGCCACCCTTCCTGAGCTAAGACAAAAATGTGTGTGAGCCGGAGGCTAAAAAACTGTGAGCTAGCTCACACTAACTCAGCTTAGAGGGAACACTGCGCATGTGTATATGGACACTCTTGACTGTAAGGCATGGTGAAACCATGTCCAGAGGTGGCCAACCTGAGCTGCTCAAGATGTTTACACCAGAGAAAACTGATGGTGAACCTCAGAAACCAAGATCCTATTGAACCTCTGATAGGAGGGGTCATCGGCAATGTTCCCTCTAAGCTGTGGAGTCTTTTGAGCAAAAATTCGACCTTGTGAGCTCCTGACATTAAAGTTGTGAGCGAGCAATATGGCTGCTGCATAAATTAGTTCGCTCTGGAGCCCTCTTTCCTGAGCTTAGACAAAAATGTGTGTGAGCCGGAGGCTAAAAAACTGTGAGCTAGCTCACACTAACTCAGCTTAGAGGGAACACTGGTCCCTGCTTCGCTTTTTCATTGAGTTCAGCCTTGAGATCTGTTACCGTTGACAGCGGGAGTAGCAGAGACGTCAAATATTCGGGAAGGACTGGTGGACTCTCTTTACGAATTTTTCATAGACAGTTTTTTCATAAATCCTACCCGATGGACAGGTAGCATTGCCAGTCGGCCTGAAGAAAAAAATGTCTCGTCTCTTTAACAGAGGCTTCATGGATTGTCATTTTCCAGGTGATGCTCTTTCATTCCGGGCCGTGGAGAGTTTCAACTGCTGGTTTAAGCCTTTGTTGAACGAACAGGACATTTTTCTCTAGGCCCGTAGGGGTTTTCTCAATTTTTCTCCAGGATGTCTGTAGGGAAGTCTGGCTTCAAACGGATTTATGCCTCAGCATACCCTCAGGTGGGGCAGCTGCTGGAGCCCGGAGGCTTCTGACAGGGCCCACCACTGCCCACCACCACTGCCCACCCATTCCCTGCCTGCTCTGTTGTGAGTGCTTCGTCCAGCTGCACACACCGCCCAGGTCAGTGAGCAGTTCAGCTGGCTGTGAACATGGGCAGCGGAAGGGCTTGTGAACAGGGCTGGAGCCAGTTTGGTGTAGCGGTTAAGAGCGGTGGACTCTAATCTGGGAGAACCGGGTTTGATTCCCCAGTCCTCCACGTGCAGCTGCTGGTGTGACCTTGGGTCAGTCACAAGTTCTCTCAGTGCTGTTCTCTCAAGGGCAGTTCTCTCAGACCTCTCTCAGCCCCACTGACCTCACAGAGAGTCTGTTGTGGGGAGGGGAAGGGGAGGAGATGGTAAGCTGCTCTGAGACGCCTTTGGGTAGTGAAGGGTGGGGTATAAATTCAATCTCCTCTCCTCCTCCTTCTTCATAGGGAAGAATACACAAGCAGGTAGTGAAGCATGTGGGTGGGAAGGGGGCCCCTGCGAACTCTCTGCCCAGGGCCCTGGAAAATCTTGAACCAGTCCTGAATCGTCGCTGTAGAGGCTAACAGGTTTCTTGTAGCAGAACGAAGTTTGAGTCCGGAGGCACCTTTAAGGCCAGCCAAGTTTAATTTTGGGTATACGCTTTCGTTCTAACTGGGACCTCCTGCATGCAAAACTGGTGCTCTGCCGCTGAGCCGCAGCCCCTTCTCTCCTATCGGCCTGTTCAGAGTGCCGTGGATTTCCAACCTGCAGCCTCACCTCCGCTTTGGGGCAGCCCCCCGCAAGACTGGTGACAGACAAAGCGTGAACATCATATCCTCGCCGCTCTAATTCTTCCACCTTCTGTTCCTTCCTTTCCAGAACATCATCCGTAAAGTCAGCGGGCAGAAATTCGTCTACAAGTTCGTCTCCTACCCGGAACTTTCCAGCATGGAGGGGGTGAAGGACGAGGGGGGCGCCAAGAGACCGGAGCAGGTCCAGCTGGACCCCAAAGCAGGAGAGGGTGCCTTCGGTGCCCCTAAAGCCCCACGTGGGGGCGGCGGTACCCCGCGCAGCAGTCGGAACGAATACATGCGCTCCGGGCTCTATTCCACTTTCACCATTCAGTCGCTGCAGACTCCTGCGCCCGCTGGACGGGCCTCGCGCCAGGAGACGGAGATCCTGCCTGTCGTGCCACCCCCCGCTGCCCCTGAACCGCCACCCCCTGCCCTGCCTCCTGTGGAGGGTCTCCCGCGGCTCCATATCAGCATTGAAGAACCAGAGGAGTCCGCAGAGTCCTTGCAAGTACGGCTTTCTCAAAAAGCTCCAACAGGTTGGGGAGAGGCTCGGTGTTTTAGTGCGACGTGGCCAAGAGTGGCCTGCCATCAAGGGACAAACTAGATGTACTCTGGGAATTCTGTGTCTGGGAAACTGAGTTTTTGTGAATAAGAATCACCGAGATCTCCGGACACAGAATCCCCAGGACTGATCTGGTTTGGCTCAGATTTGAAAAGCAGTTTTAGGGAATCCTCCTATGTCTCTGTGGTCTGTAACACAGAGATTAGGGAAATTCCTAGAGGTCACCCTGAAGTGACCTCACATCCTCCTCAAACTCCACCCTCTCCACATACTGCCATCAAAATCTCCTGGTGTTTGCCAAGGCAGTGGTGGCATCACATCTCCTACCCCTCGTGCCATTTTACTAGCCAGTTTGGTGTCGTGGTTGGGAGGGCGGACTCTAATCTGGGAGAACCGGGTTTCATTCCCCACTCCTCCACATGCAGCTGCTGGTGTGACCTTGGGTCAGTCACAAGTTCTCTCAGAGCTGTTCTCTCAAGGGCAGTTCTCGGGAGAGCTCTCTCAGCCCCACCTACCTCACAGGGTGTCTGTTGTGGGGAGGGGAAGGGAAAGGAGATTGTAAGCCACTCTGTGACTCCTTCAGGTAGTGAAGGGCAGGGTATAAATCCAATCTCTTCTTCTCTCTGTATGTCCTGTTGGGGAAATTATACATAACCATCAGTACATGTAAGTTTCCTCGATGAGACAAAGAACAGAAATTTTTTTGGGGGGGGGAGCTTAAGCCCCCACAGTTCTGATCCAAGTATGATCTTTGAATGCCTGGGAACTGAGTTCCGACAACAGAATTTCGAAGGAATGTCTGATCAAAATTCCTCATGTCCAAAATCCAATCTCTTCTTCTTCTCTCTGTATGTCCTGCTGGGGAAATTATACGTAACCATCAGTACATGTAAATTTCCTCGATGAGACAAAGAACAGATCCTTGAAGCTGTTTCAGTTTGGGAAAATAGCATGGGGGGAAGTTGTGGGGGGGAGCTTAAGCCCCCACAGTTCTGATCCAGATATGATCATTGAATGCCTGGGAACTGAGTTCCAACAACAGAATTTTGAAGGAATGTCTGATCAAAATTCCTCAAGTCCAACCTGGGTAGGACGTGAGGATAATGTGACACGGAATTAGCCCTTTTGGATAGGGTTATCAGCCCCCAGGTGTAGCCTGGAGAGTCCACCCTCCAAAGCAGCCATTTTCTTCCGGGGAAGAAGAAGAAGAAGAGAAGAGATTGGATTTATACCCCGCCCTTCACTACCCAAAGGTTTCCCCGGGAGGTGGTGGCCTCTCCTTCTTTGGAAGTTTTGAAACGGAGGCAAGATGGCCATCTGACAGCAATGCTGATTCTGTGAACTAAGGCAGATCCCGCGAAGGGAGGGCAGGAAGGGCTGCCTCAGTGCTTAGTTCTTGTGGCCCTGTCTTACACACCCAGGGAAATGCCGATTGCCACTTTGGGGCCAGGAAGCAACTCTTCCCCAGGCCAGTTTGGCCAAGGAACCTGGAAGGTGGTGTTTTGCTTTGGGTTTTGTTTTTTGTTCTTTGCCATCTTCTGGGCATAGAGCTGGGATCATTAGGGGTGTGGTGGTGTTTGGCCAAGGAACCTGGAAGGTGGTGTTGTGCTTTGGGTTTTGTTCTTTGCCATCTTCTGGGCAAAGAAGTCACAGAGGCACCTTTAAATAGAAGAGTCCGGAATTTCCTGCATGGTGCAGTGGGTTGGACTGGATGACCCTGGAAGGTTCCCTTCCAACTCTATGATTCATGATTCTGGAAGATCTTAGGCCCCACCTGGAGGTTAATAGAACAAACACCATGTAATAGTTCGATACAAATTCAAATTATTGAAACCAGGACATAACAAACTGTAAAGACAACACACTGCAACAGTTAAGTATAGTGCTATCTCAATGCAATATGACTTATTTCACAAGTGTGGTAAAGTCCCCACGTGGTACAAAAAAGGTCTGAAGAACCTTTGTAACAAATGTTCAAAGAGATTCCAAGCGGTCAGCGCCCTACTCCAGAGTGGCAGGGGTTTCCTCAGTCTTCATCAGGACCGCATAAGTCATCAGTGGAACCCAAAGCCTTAAACAGTTCAGCCTAACAGTACACAGTCACTTATTCACGAGTGTCACCACTGCCTAGTCCAATTTCAGATCAGCCAAAGAACCACTTGGAGTCCATCCTCCAAAGCAGCCATTTTCTCCAGGGGAACTGATCTCTGTCAGTCTGGAGACCAGTCATGATTCTGGGAGCTCTCCAGGCCCTGCCTGGAGGTTGGCAAGCCTGACTCCCAGCCATGGGTCTGGCAAGCCTAGTGGGAAAATTGAGGGCAGATAGTGAGCAGGTAAACAATCGTGATTGGGCAGGATGTAAGGAGAGAGGGCTGGCTTAAGTCCCCCCACCCAGATCTTCGCAGTGTTCCTGAACCAGACACTATCAGCCAGAGGTCATTTCGGGGGGGATCACGGGGGATCGCAGTTCCCC